TGTCATCCTCTTCTTCTTCTTAGTCTTCTTCTTCTTTTTCATGGCAGGTAAATAATGGATTTCCAAGCAGAACCAACGTGTGGTCAATGAGTTCTCAATCACGTAGGAGTGCAGGCTGTCCAACATACAGAGATACAGGATATTTACAGAGATAACACCATTGAGAAGAGCCACCAATGACCAGACATTACTTTTATCAATGGTGTCATCTTTGTAAACATTCTGTAGCCTTCTGTGGATGTCGGACATCCTGCACCCCTCGTTCATCAAAAGCTCAATGACCACACATTGCTTCTGCTTGGAATCCATTATTAACCTTTTTTATTTACTTACATTCATATCTATTCAAATTTCACATGTTGGTAGAGTAACTCTTCTTCTTCTTCTTCCTCTTCTGTCTTCCTTCTTTCTTCTTCCTTTTTCCTTCTGTCTTCTTCTTTTTCTTCTTCTTCTTCTTCTTTCTTCTTCCATCTTAATTTTTCCTTCTCCCTTCTGTCTTCTTGTCTTCTTCTGTCATCTTCTTCTTCTTTGTCTTCTTCTTCTTTCTTCTTTCATGTTCATTCTTCCTTCTTTCTTCTTCCATCTTCATTCTTCCTTCTGTCTTGTTCTGTCATCTTCTTCTTCTTTGTCTTCTTCATCTTCTTTTTCATTGTCTTCATCTTCTTTGTCTTCTTCTTCATCTTTGTCCTCTTCCTTTTCATGGCAGGTAAATAATGGATTTCCAAACAGAACCAACGTGCAGTCAATGAGTTCTCAATCAAGGAGGGGTGCAGGATGTCCGTCATCCACAGAAGGCTACAGAATATTTAGAGAGATAACACCATTGACAAGAGCCACCAATGACCAGACATTGCTCTTACCAATGGTGTCATCTTTGTAAACATTCTGTAGCCTTCTGTGGATGTCAAACAGCCTGCACCCCTCCTTCATCAAGAACTCAATGACAGCACATTGCTTCTGCTTGGAACCCATTATTAACCTTTTTTTATTTACTTACATTCATATCCATTCAAATTTCACATGTTGGTAGAGTAACTCTTCCTCTATAGTAACTCTTCTTCTTCTTCTTTTGCATTGCAGGAAATTAATGGATTCCAAACAGAAGCAACATGTCGTCATTGAGTTCTTGATGAAGGTGGTGGTGGACAGACAGCCACAGAAGGCTACAGAATCTTTATGGAGATGACACCATTGACAAGAGTCACCGAACACAAGACATTGCTTTTGTCAATGGTGTCATCTCCATAAACCTTCTGCAGCCTTCTGTGGATGTCGGACAGCCTGCACCCCTCCTTCATCGAGAACTCAATGACTGCACATTGCTTCTGCTTGGACTCCATTATTTACCTGCAATGAAAAAAAAGAAGAGTTACTATGGAGGAAGAGTTTCTCTATCAACAAATGAAATTTGAATGAATATGAATGTAAGTTAATAATAAAAGGTTACCAATGGATTCCAAGCAGAAGCAATGTGCGGTCTGTGACGGGAGTGACTTTTGGGGGTGGGGGGACCTCTGTATCATCTTCCCAAATTCCCATTATGTTTAAGGCACCCTGTGCCTGTTAAGGGGTACAGGGTGTGTATGTGAATGTCTGAGTCTTGTGTATAGTGTGTGTTCCTTTGTCTAGGCCACATGGCTGTCCATTGTCTGTTTGCCATGTGCTCCGCCCCATTGTGCTGTGTCTTCCTGTCCAGCCAACTATTATGGGATGTACTGTTTGTGTATTGGTGTGGGGGTTGGTCAATATCCTTTGCCATGTGTTTCATCCCATTGTTCTGTGTCTTGGGTTGGTTCCCTGTAGCCCTTCCCACTGATAGGGCGGGCTGATGATGTATTTCCTGTCCCTGGTTGTGTTTCCCCGCCCTCTGTATATATTCTGTGTTTTGTGTTAAAATAAGGAGTTGGCTTCCTGTTTTAGTAAGAGCTGGGTGTTGTCTATTTTCCTGAGGGATTTCAAGGGTGTGGTCCGTGGATGGTGTTCGGACAGGGGAAGCTGCAGTATAACGGAATATACCCAAGTGTGGTCGGGTACCGGTTCCATTACACAGTCATTGAGTCCTTGATGAAGGAGGGGTGCAGGCTGTCCGACATCCACAGAAGGCTACACAATGTTTATGGAGATGACACCACTGATAAAAGCAATGTCTTGTCTTTGGTGACTCTTGTCAATGGTGTCATCTCTATAAACATTCTGCAGCCTTCTGTGGATGTCGGACATCCTGCACCCCTCCTTCATCAAGATCTCAATGACCGCACATTGCTTCTGCTTGGAAATCCATTATTTACCTGCAATGAAAAAGTAGAAGAAGAAGAACATTTACTATAGAGGAAGAGTTACTATAGAGGAAGGGTTACTATAGAGGAAGGGTTACTATAGAGGAAGGGTTACTATAGAGGAAGAGCTACTATAGAAGAAGAATTACTATAGAGGAAGAGTTACTAATATATAGGAAGAGCTACTATAGAGGAAGGGTTACTATAGAGGAAGAGTTACTATAGAGGAAGGGTTACTATAGAGGAAGAGTTACTATAGAGGAAGGGTTACTATAGAGGGAGGGTTACTATAGAGGAAGAGTTACTATAGAGGAAGGGTTACTATAGAGGAAGGGTTACTATAGAGGAAGGGTTACTATAGAGGAAGAGCTACTATAGAGGAAGAGTTACTATAGAGGAAGAGTTACTATAGAGGAAGGGTTACTATAGAGGAAGAGTTACTATAGAAGAAGAATTACTATATAGGAAGAGCTACTATAGAGGAAGGGTTACTATAGAGGAAGAGTTACTATAGAGGAAGAGTTACTATAGAGCAGTGTTTCTCATCTCCAGTCCTCATGGACCCCTAACAGGTCATGTTTTCAGGATTTCCATTATTTTGCACAGGTGATTTGATCAGTTTCACTGCCTTAGTAATTACCACAGCTGTTTCATCTGAGGGAAATCCTGAAAACATGACCTGTTGGGGGTCCATGAGGACTGGAGTTGAGAAACACTGCTATAGAGGAAGAGTTACTATAGAGGAAGGGTTACTATAGAGGAAGGGTTACTATAGAGGAAGGGTTACTATAGAGGAATGGTTACTATAGAGGAAGAGTTACTATAGAGGAAGGGTTACTATAGAGGAATGGTTACTATAGAGGAAGGGTTACTATAGAGGAAGGGTTACTATAGAGGAAGGGTTACTATAGAGGAAGGGTTACTATAGAGGAAGGGTTACTATAGAGGAAGAGTTACTATAGAGCAGTGATGGCGAACCCGTGGCACGCGTGCCACAGCCGGCACGCCGAGCCTTATCTGTGGGCACGCCAGGAGAATCCAGCGGCGCGCTGTCTTCCCGGCTGTAGTGTGCGTGACAGCTGGGTCCCAAGTGCGCATGCACAAGAAGCAGTGCTGTTTGTGAATGGTAAGGCGGTACCTGGGACACATGACAGATCCCAGAAGCCGCCGGACCAATCACAAAGCGCAGCGCTTCTCGCGCAGGGTTACTATAGAGGAAGAGTTACTATAGAGGAAGGGTTACTATAGAGGGAGGGTTACTATAGAGGAAGAGTTACTATAGAGGAAGGGTTACTATAGAGGAAGGGTTACTATAGAGGAAGGGTTACTATAGAGGAAGAGCTACTATAGAGGAAGAGTTACTATAGAGGAAGAGTTACTATAGAGGAAGAGTTACTATAGAGGAAGGGTTACTATAGAGGAAGAGTTACTATAGAAGAAGAAATTACTATATAGGAAGAGCTACTATAGAGGAAGGGTTACTATAGAGGAAGAGTTACTATAGAGGAAGAGTTACTATAGAGCAGTGTTTCTCATCTCCAGTCCTCATGGACCCCTAACAGGTCATGTTTTCAGGATTTCCATTATTTTGCACAGGTGATTTGATCAGTTTCACTGCCTTAGTAATTACCACAGCTGTTTCATCTGAGGGAAATCCTGAAAACATGACCTGTTGGGGGTCCATGAGGACTGGAGTTGAGAAACACTGCTATAGAGGAAGAGTTACTATAGAGGAAGGGTTACTATAGAGGAAGGGTTACTATAGAGGAAGAGTTACTATAGAGGAAGGGTTACTATAGAGGAAGGGTTAGTATAGAGGAAGAGTTACTATAGAGGAAGGGTTACTATAGAGGAAGGGTTACTATAGAGGAAGAGTTACTATAGAGGAAGAGTTACTATAGAGGACGAGTTACTGTAGAGGAAGAGTTACTATAGAGGAAGGGTTACTATAGAGGAAGGGTTACTATAGAGGAAGAGTTACTATAGAGGAAGGGTTACTATAGAGGAAGAGTTACTATAGAGGAAGAGTTACTATAGAGGAAGGGTTACTATAGAGGGGTTTATAGAGAAGGTTACTATAGAGGAAGAGTTACTATAGAGGAAGGGTTACTATAGAGGAAGGGTTACTATAGAGGAAGGGTTACTATAGAGGAAGAGTTACTATAGAGGAAGGGTTACTATAGAGGAAGGGTTACTATAGAGGAAGAGTTACTATAGAGGAAGGGTTACTATAGAGGAAGAGTTACTATAGAGGAAGGGTTACTATAGAGGAAGGGTTACTATAGATACTATTTATACTTTAATAAAACGTTACTCCCAGTTTTGCATTACTCTCAGTACAGCCCTCTCATACATTCTCATCTACAGCAGAGAAATAACGATTATCTTCATATTGTTCGTTTTTTTTCTTTGCTCCACTTTTTAGATCCTCTTTCAATCTCCCAGAATTAGGCCGCAGCTCTCGGCTGAGTTCAGTTCCAGCTTCTATTTTTGTCAGACGTACAAATGGGTTCCCCCGCAGTTTAGAAATTCAACATTGAAATCATTTTCTTGAATTTGAGTTGCGGAAGTTGTCACTGCCAATAGAATGAATCCGAGTGTTGTGCATGGGCAGTCTGTGTGCAGGTGGAGGGAGGAGCTACTGACAGGTGTATCTGTCTGTCCTCCTCCCCCAGGTCTGCATGGTAGGGGGCTCACCTCTGAAATGTTCTGTGCCTCCCCCAG